CAGATGGAGCGACGAGGAGAGCTGGCTTGCTCCCAGATCGAAGTCACTGCAAAAACGCTTTCAGGGACACGGCACTCGAGAGTAACAAGCAAATGAGGCGACTGAAACCAGCAGAGAATAGCTTCATGTCTGCCCACTTCCTGAGCCCAGGCCCCCTTCTTCCTGGTGCAGGTCATGCGGAGGTTAGCCAAATGGGCTCAAGAACTCCAGTTTCCGACCCGCCTCGCTCTGGGCTTGCTCCGCTTTGCCAGGCCCTTCCACCCCTGAGAGGCAACCATCCCTCAAGCAAACGGCATCCAAGGCAGGGACATTTTGAGTGACAAGTCTCTGCTTTCGAGAAGGTTTGGAGGGAAACAAGAGCAACTTGGCTCTGCAGAGACCTTCCCAGAAAGGCCACCTGCCAAGCCCCTTGTTGGAACCGGACACGGTGCCCCGTGTGAAGTTAATCCTGACCAAACCTATCCATCCCCCCAAGGCCCACGTCCTCTGGGTGAAAGTGCTTCCTACATACAGCTCCCACCAGTGCAATGCAGTTCACTGGGAGCAGGCCATCACTCCTCGAGTCATCAAAACAACCGCGTTTTGTAAGAGTTTTCATATTACAACTCCCATAAGGATTGCAAGAGACTCTGAGGTTTTGAGAAACCCATCAAAAACACAGGGCTCAAAACCCCTCCCATCTCTCCTCTGCTCCCCATGCTACACAGGGCTAGGTTGCAGTTTGCCAGGCATCTTTGGGGCACTTTGGAAGAAACGCCTCCCTCTTAGCATCCCTTGCTAAATCCTAAGGTTATTCCAGCCTCTCACGGCCTGTACCTTCTCCTGGGCACGGCTGAATCGCTTCTGGACCTGCTTGGCAAAGAGTCCGGCACCTCCAGTCTTGCCTTCTGCCATGGCTGCAAGCTCACCGTGCAATTGCAGCTCACTGTCAACTTGTGGTTTTAAGTTTTGCTGCGGGAGGAAGTTAGAAAAGTGTCAGCTGTCACCAAGGCTCAGCATCCGCTGAACAACCCGAGCTGGGCGGGTTCTGTTTCCACCACCCAAGGGCTGGGCAGCCGACATCCACTCTGAACAAAGGAGAAGGGTATGCGTGTGTTCAGGTACTTGGGTCTGGATGGTGTTAAAGCGAGGGGCTGTAATATGCTACCTCCCCTCCCACTTTTTGAATTGTTTGAGAGGTCTGCAATGGGCTGGGGGGAAATCATCAACAAAATCATTTGGGAGGATTTGGTGAAAAGGTCCCAGAGTGAGCTCCAGTGTCCGCAGGGTCTTGAGGTCTTGTTCCCCAATCACATCCTGACGGCATCTCCTAGAACATGCTTAGCAACCAAGGCAAAATCAGGGTGGTAGTAGCAACAGGGGCATATTGGAGAAGAGGACTGGGAGCCAAGAGAGAATAATTTCATCTGTGCCACCTCACCCTAGGCATGACCTTGGACAAGTCTTTTGGGACCAGATGTCAGCACCTGCCCTTCACTAGAGCGGTGGCTGCTGAGAACCTCTGGAAATGGATGCCCTTCACGTCCCAGTGACCTTTTACTCAGGGAGGGACAACCACCTTGCTGCTTGCCTTTTGTGAACTATGTAATAACTGAACTAAGGACCAGGGTCTTGTTTAGTAGAGAGCTGCCATAGGCCCCATTTATGCATCACAACTGTGCTGCAGCCAGATCTCCTGGACATTGCACTGTAGCACAGCACAGCCCTCCAAGCCCAGTTTAGCTCCTCCGGATCTGGACTGGAGAGCCATTCCTCACGTTTCCTGCCGATACAACCACCAGGCTGTTTTGCAGCTACACTTATCTCCAGCTTACTACTTCCAGCTTCCTTTGCATTTCAGGAGCTACTGGGATAAACAGGAACATGCAGGGAGCCTTAGAGGAGCATCAGCAACTGGGCCCACAAAAGAGAGAGCTGGACCCCAGGTCATATTTGAACTGGGGGTTGTGCTGCCATGCCCGACTGAACACATTTCATCTTAGAAGCTAAGCAGTCCTGGGCTTGATTGGCTCTTGGATGAGAGACCACTGTGAAATCCCCAGTGTTGAAGAAAGTCAAACGGTGCATATTACTCATTCCCTTCTGTTACAGCCCTGCTATGCAGCGTGAAGCCTTTAGGTCTGGGAACAGCTGGTTTCAGAGCCTGCTGTTACAGAACTGCTTAAAGCTGTGCTACCAGCACAGGAGAGACCAAACATGCTGGTGGAAAGGCCGGGGAAGAGTACTAACTGGGCGCTGCCTTTTGCTTCAGTTCTGCGCAGTATTTGGAAGTGCACGCGTCTTAGGTGGCATCCGCTTGCAAGTTTTCCTCCAGCATCTGTTCAGGCACATCCAGGATGCCACCCCCTGGCTTTTATGCAGTGCTTTCCAACAGCTGATTGCAAAAGTGTTTGCATCAGTACCACCACCCTTTTTACAGATGGGTAAACTGAGGCCAAGAAGCAAAGAGACATACCCCAAAAGGGCCAGGGACAAAACCAGACCAGAACCCAGCTTTTCTGAGCAGAAAAAAAAAGAAAGAGAAACTTGGAATTTCTGTTTTGTGCATTTTGAAATTGGGTCGCTCCAATTTTGAATGGTCCCCACCCTCCGCTCCCTCCCTTCAATACACACATTTGCCCATGAAATAAATTCCATAATATTCTTCATTTGGAAGCTGACTCCTAAGGTTGCTACCGACTGACAGATGATGTGGACCAAAAAAGAGTCGCATCCATTTCTTTTTTGTGTAGCAGGATTCCCCGTGGAGCCACGTCCTTCCGGGTCCCTGGCCCTAAAGTAGTGCTAGTTAGGAGGGGATCTGAAGCAAGGTTATCCTACAAAGTGTTTACTCTGAAAATTACTTCAAGATAGTGACTGAGAACGTCCGGTCTGTCAAAAAGATCACGAACAGATACTGCAATCACACTTCATCAGCAGTTACTGTAGTTCTGCTTTTATCTTTGTTGAAGCAAAACAACACACCTGGGACTTTCCAGGGAAAGCCTGTTTAAATATAAAGCACTTACTAGTTATTGTTGCAAAGCACAGCAGCTGCCAGCCTCACTGCATCAGTGAATTATGCCAGGCAGCAGGATTCAGAAGAAATAGGGTTTTTGCCCGCCTTTGGAGAAAGCGATCCAGCCCTGAAAGGCACAAGTTAACTTGCAAGTTGGTGGATTGAACATTGTAAAGTTGAAGCAGGAGCTATCAAGCAGGATGTCATGTTACCCGTCTGTGACATTACAGGGGCTTTCTGGATGGAGGTGAAATAGGGAAGTCAAAGCAGCATCTGAATGGGGTGGGTCCTTGTGAGAGGCAGGCTCCAGGGACCGGAGCTCAGATCCAGGGTGTGTGATGTAAATTTACAGTCCTGCAGCTTTCACCTAATGGAGAATCAAATGACTTTGTGTGGATTCATTTTGCTTTGCACCTTCTGCCAGCAGCTCTCAATGCATTTGATGGGCATCAGGTGAGACTCTAAGCCACCTTGAACTCCAATGTCACGGACCACCTTGTGCCACAGAGCAGCAAAGTGAGTGGGTCAGGGTCCCAGAAAGTAGGGAGTGGCAGAGATGGAGGTAAGGCAGAAGGCTGGTTCAATGACTCAGGTACCAGCATGGGCTTTAGGGGCCATGGACAAGTGACTTTGCCTCTCTGTGCCTCTGTGAAATGAGGACAGCCCTACCCTGCCTCCTGGGGCATGGAGAGAATCAACGCAGTCAAAGTAACCAAGGATGCGTCTACACTGTGGTGCAGTGCTACTCAAGCTAGCTTGTACTGCTGCCATGGCTTGCTGGCTTCCATGCAGTTTTGCATGGGTTAATTCACTCTGCAGCCCTCTCTGTGCTGTGTCCAAAATCCAAGCCAGCTTGTTTAAACCCAGTGGGAGTCTCTCTCCACAGAGAGAGTTTCATCTGCAGCATGGACCTACTCCAGACAGACAGACGTTAAAGTATGTCTGATGGCACTGACTACCGAAACGGGGCAAGCATCGACCTGGAAGATGGCATAGAGTGCACCCTCAGCAAGTTTGCAGATGACACCAAGCAAGAGGGAGTCCAGTTTTGGGCCCCCCACTATAGAAAGGATGTGGACAAATTGGAGAGAGTCCAGAGAAGGGCAATGAGAATGGTTAGGGTGCTGGGGCACATAACTTATGAAGAGAGGCCGAGGGAACTGGCCTTATTTAGTCTGGAGAAGAGAAGACAGAGGGGATTTAATAGCAGCCTTCAACCCCCTGCTGGGGGTCCAAAGAGGACGAAGCTGGACTGGTCTCAGTTGGGGCAGACGACAGACAAGGAGCAATGGGCTCACGTTGCAGCAAGAGAAATTGAGGTTGGATATTAGGAAAAATCTCTATCACTAGGAGGGTGGTGAAGCACTGGAACAGGTTACTCAGAGAGGTGGTGGTGTCTCTATCCTTTTAAGACACAGGTAGACAAAGCCTTGGCTGGGATGATGTAGTTGGGGCTGGTCCTGCTTGCAGCCAGGGGTTGGACTAGATGCAACCTCCTGAGCTCCCTTCCCACCCTCATTTTCTGTGATTCTACGTGAAACTCAAAGGGAGCCTCTGCTGTATGCACTTGACACCTCTGCCTGGCCGCTGGGTGGCACCAACGTCCCAGTCAAAGAGGCACCGTGGTGCAAGGAGCCTCCAGCTGGCGCCATGGGGAAGAGCCTGTGATTTGCTCACTGCACAGTCCCGGGTTCCTGGCTGAATCTGGTGCTCGGTGCCTGCGGACGGCTGCAGCAGGAGCCTTCCTAAAGGCTGTTTTCCAGCCCCCTGCACTGCGGGGAGGCTCTGCCCAGCTAGCCCCCAATCTAGGCCGAGGGGCAACATTTTTATTTTCTCACCCACCCCTGGAGAAGCCATCCCATCTCGCAGGGAGTAGGAAACTACCTGCCACAGCGGAGCTATACCAGAGCCAGGCTCTGAGCCCTGCCTTCTAGGGCTGCAAAGGGGCTTTCATCATCCTTCCATACCAAAACAGGGTCTCCCAGTGTCACTCCTGTTATTAGATTTTAGTGGGTGCAAATATGGAAGACTCCGATCTTGCACATTCAAAGCCAGGAGCTCATACACCTGCCATGTGCCTCAGCATGGAGGTCCTTGGGAATTTGCCATCTTCAGGCATCATCCAAATCACTGCATAGCCAGCGGTTTGTTAAAGGCATCTTGCCAGACAGAAATCAGCAACGCATGCAGGGCTCAGATATAGTGCATCACAGCCCAGCCACCTATTCTGCTTCTGCCTTGCTTGCACAGGCTGTAAAGTCTCCTGGGACAGGGGCTAGGGGGGCTTGCACAGTGCCAACTGCAATGGGGACTGGGTCTTGATGATCTTTAGGTACTAAACATAAGAAAACATCTGGCTTAATACTGGCACAAGAAGGTCCCGCTGCTGCACGCTGAGCATCTGCTCCGAAGGAACCAAACCCAGACGGGACTCTTCAAACAAAACAATGTCTCTTTATTTTAGGTTCATGCCATGTGGATCCAAAATGCAGGGCACATTCCACATTCCTGGGAGGGCTTCTGACTTACAGGAGAAGCAGAATCATTTGGAAACTAGTGTCAACTACCATATTCAAGTCTAAACACTTAATAAAAACCAAAGGTATTTCTTCTGTTCGCTTTGCGGCTGCATTGTCTTTCCATTGGAGGTTTAAAGAAAAACACCAGTAGAGAAAAATCCAGCTGCATGGATTGAAACAGGAGGTAGAAGGTGGAGGAAGGTGGTGGTACCAATAATGCCAGGAGAGTTTAAGCTAGAACCCCAGTGCCCTTTGCCCAACTCAGAAGAAAGTATGGTCTTTCTGGACTGGACTCACCAGGGATCCCATAAGGAAAGCCACTAGCGCCTCCACTTGTGTGTTTTCTAATGGAAAACTGGTGAGGAAGCATCATGGCAGGGAAAGGGTCATGAGAAGTGAAACGTTGATGCTGATTTAAATGAT